CCAGTGGAGATTTTCTGAAGGTGGCCTATCAACCTTGTCAAGCGATGCATGGACAGGGAAGCCAGTCATTGGCAAGCCTTTATCCCTACCCAGAGCCCGCCTGTCTGCCAAAATTGCTGAAAATTTAGGTCAGTCTGTTTTAAGTAGGGTACAGCTTCTCAGCTTTGTTTATTTTTACATCTTAAAGACCACACAGTTACCAAGACTTCTGCTCCCATCCTCTTTACTAGCAAACTTCAATACACCTTCACCCAGCCAAAAGCAGCAGGAAGATTTAGCCGAGCCAGAAACAACTGAAGGTTCACAGTTAATTCCCAGCCAGGAAGATTACTCGCCCTTCTCGTTCCTAGCAAACGAGGTCGGTCTCCTTCACCGCAGAAGGTGGCAGCACATCCCACCTCTCTGGGCTCTGCTACCATGCCCAAACCCCCAGCCTGGACACACCAGCGCCCAGCCAGTCAGGCGTTCAGGGGCCAGCAGCAGAAGCACAGCCTCAGCTGCAACTCACATGTATTAAAGCATAGGAAAAACAAAATCAGTATATGAAAATCCTGAGGTCAGACAACAGAAGAGTAAGGAATACTGAGATACAAAACTAGTCATACCAGGATTATATTTTTACAAATTAGACATGGAGCATGCTTCAAGAAAGTACATGAAAGCGCACATCTCCCCCCCCCAGTAGCAGATAAACCTGGAATGCCAGGTCTTTTGCCAACCTCCGTAATTATGGTGTTTTAACTGCTCACAAATCAAGAAGTAAATTCATTCAGGTTTTCTTTATTTGGAACTGTCATTCAAGTACAGCTCATTAACTTTTATCAATAGCCCAGACTTTCTAAATTCCAGTACTTTTCTTTCCTTAAGGAAAACATACTTACAGGTGTTATTCTGGTCAAGTACAACACCCATATAACATGATGCATCAAAACCATAAGACAGACTGGTACAGGTTTCTGGTATTCAAGGAAAACACTCACTTGAAAGTGAAATTATGCAGCCAGCCAGAAACTTCACTGGTAACCATGACAGAGCAGATTTGCAGTCTTAATAAATTTAACTAGAATTACATATTCAGACTATTTCAAACAGAGACAGATGTCCATCAGAGTTATTTAAACTGGTGGACAGATACTATGTTATTTTGGTCAACATCTAAGTCCACACTACAGATGAATTGAGACTTTCTTTATCAGGGAAAGAAACAGATGACACCGCCTGTCTGTACGAGGGCATGAACTAATCTTTGATCACAGCACTGCTACGTAACACCAGAGTGAATAATTTACGAGAGCAATTAGCTGAAACAAATCCAGCCCTCAACATAGAAGTGGCATCAAGAAGTCTCACTGACCTTTGTGTCAGGACCCAGAATCGCTAGGCACACACAAACCTCCCCGGCAAAGGCGGCGCTGAAGCGAGACGCACAACGCAAAGGGATGATGCCGGGAGGGCATCCCAAAATGTCCGAGTGCAATCACAACTACCCGCTGCTTCCCTCATCAGTCTGGGAGCTCTGAATTTCCAGACAGCTTCACAGGTAAAAATAGCTCTGCTCGTGTAAAACCTGAGATAAGGACTAGCAAGCCACATCACAACAAGGGTGGGGACGTACGTCCTTTGTGATGTACGGCCTCTCAACAGTGCTTTAAATTCTTCCTGAATGAAATATAGCGATGCATCAGTGAGGGTGGCCAGGCACCCCGGCCTCAAGCCAGCTCTTGTCCCTGTGCCACACAACAACACACCGCAGCCAGGGACAGCCTCGCTAACGTGGCTACTCGTGTCCAGACAGCAGAGAACAGATGACACGCAGGCATATCCCAAGAGAGCCTGCCTTTAACAATGAGAAATACTCATTTGAGATCAAATTCAGCCAGACAAACTGCGAACGCCATTTCAGCCAAATAAGATATCGTTCTGTGGTGAGAGCAGAAGAGTCAAACCACAGCCCTGCTTTCGTTCAGCTTCTTCTGCGAGCAGGGAGAAGACACACAGCATTAACATCGCCATCACACCTGCACCAAGCACATCCAAAACTAGAAAGGCACAATGGGAGGCAAATACCTTTGAAGAAAAGCACTCAAGTCATCATTTTATACTTAACACACCAAACTGGATACCTGCATTTATAAAATGCTCGCTCTTATTTCATGGATTATGACTCAGAGGATTACAAGGCCATTTACCAGCAACACTACTGCAACAGGTAGTCCCATTAACTTCAGCCGAGCTTCTCCCAAAACAGTGCTGCTAATGTGCAACCATTTTGCAAGCTGAAATTCAGACAAAGCAAATGAAAGTCAGCTGAACATCTGCATCTGCAAACACACACCCACACGTGGGCTCAGGACAGGCCCAGGGGATGCCAGCAGCACTGCCAAGCGTTTGCACAGCTGGGACCACGTGCACTGCATTTGGTCAAGGCCACAGGCTACACACTGCACCCACCTGGAGAAAACCACTGCACTCGTGCCATACGCAGTTGCTCGAAGGAGGAGCAGAAATACACCTAACAGTTAAAAGGCAAGAGGCACTCACCTCCTGATTTGCTCTGAATGTTTTTCATCTAGTTTTTCCAACACAAGAATTAAAGGATTTACTTGTGGCACTAGTCTTCAATGGACAGTCTGGTATCAATATTACAAGACAAGCTGTTTAACCTCCACACAAACCGTTTAACCTCAATAGTTACCTTAGATTTCTAGGTCAATACAGAGATGACAGGAATTCTACCAACGGCAACTGAAAAATTAAGAAGAGCAAAGCTAGGGCTCTACTCATACAGATAAATATACTCGGTATTTCAAGCTACTCGCCCACTTAGTGAGCTCCCTGCCTCTCACATTTATATATTCAAAGATGAGAAAAAGAAACTCCTGCCCTCCACACAGCTATGCTGTACATGGAGAACCTCTCTATTCCCCAGCCAGTCATAACAGTTGAAAGGCAAGTTTTTATTGTAAATCATTATCAGTGACTCATCTGAACTGACAAAAACTAAGCTAGCGCCAGCGATGACTGTACTCCACCAAACTGCACGGCAAGATGACAGTCTGCAGAGCAAATCCACGAGGATCCAGCACCGTGCTACCCTAACCAAGGGAGCACGGAACAGGCAAGCTCTTAAAACAAGCGGCTACCGAATCTTCTGGTATTTCAGCAGATCAGCTTCACTAAAGCAAGCATCCATCACCTTCCACACGTCAAGTTTATAGTGACTAGTACAGTTTATTAAAAATTAACTCAGCTCTTGTTTTTCTTTATTTGCTTTTTACTAATAGTTCACGTCAGGCAGGAGGGAAAAACGCTCACACCAGCCACTCAGCATTTTCACTCCTTTATGTCTAATTGCTTCACTATAAATTCCAGGCTCCTGAAGTTTCCTTCCCTCCCCTGAGGAGCTCTATGGCATCCTTTTTAAGTCCAGGTTCCCAACTTCTATTTTAACTGCTACTTGTCTGAAATGCCCCCATCACAATACTGCTTTGGCTCTCCTCTCACAAGAGCCACAGGAAGACACTCGTGTCTAGCCTGGTCCTCCTGGCCCTGTGCTGCTGAAGGAATGCCAGGCACCCTGGCTTTCGGCACCTGTGGCAACAGTTGGGTTTTACCCACATATTTTGCTTCTGTGAAACTAACTGGTAGCTGTCTGCGTGTGGAAACGTGTCTCCAAACGGTTCTGGAGGAAGGCAGGTGTCCGAAACCCTGAGCCTCCCTGCACGCAACCAGCAGGGCTCGGCACGAGCATGGACCAAGAAGCAACAACAAGACAGGGCAGAAATCCCTCCTGCGAGCTCCGGGCAGCGAAAGGCCCAGGCTGGGGGCAGGAGCCGGGAAGGGCCGGTTCCCATCCGAGAGGAGCCAGGCAGCTCACGGTGGAAGCGCTCTCCCCAGCATCGCAATGATTCAGCAAAGGCGCTGGAGATGAACCCAGACGTTTTGCCTCCCTCCCTGTGAGAGAGCCGACAGCCCAGGCCCTCGCCGCACACCAGGACCCCGGCGCCGCCCCCTCTCCCAGCGGGGCAGGACCCCCGG